TCTTACCTGCAGGGCAAAGTAAAGCCAGGGTATGTTTTGCATTGCAAGGGAGGAAACATTAGCTCTTGCATACTTGTAGGTAACAAGGAAATAGCTACATCAAAAATTTTCAGCTTATCATCACTGTTAAAAAGAGAATGACCAAGATGATGTTTTAGGGAATAGGATCCAAATTTAGGCTTGGGCTTTAATGACCAAACAGACAGCAAACATTTCTTGTATTTAAATATCACCTCATTTAATCTTGAGAAGCATTTTTGGGAGTAGTATGGAATTAACTCTATTATTACTGATAAGGAAACAGGTTCAGAAAGAATGATTTACCTGTCAAAGACCACAGTCAGTGAATGATAGCACTGGGATTTGAATTAAGTTTGACATATCAATTAAATGTCACTGTTTTTCTTGCTGTCCACCCCTTCTTGCAAGGCTTTCTGGCAGAATAAATGTCTCAGCAACATCCTTCTGGGCCTGTGCTTCCTCCACTCTAGCCTGAAATCTCATTTCTGATCCTCTCAGGCTTCTTCAGAACCCCATTCCCATAAGACCTTTTCAAGTAAATTGATCAACACTAGCATATTATTCATAACATGCTAATAGAAACTAAATGTGTGACTGATCTAATGCTACCTGACGCTAATAAGACCTTCTTTTCCCAAAAAGGTAACACCTGCTTAGTTAAATAGTGGCTTTTAGGGAGATGCTGCTAAATCTCAGGGGCTGTTTTCTACTTTCAAATCACCTAGTAGGCTGGCCAGAAAAATGACAAGTATTTAATATTTACTTAGCCTTATTACTTGCCAGCCACCATTGTGAATACACACAGCAAGCATCTCATGATTCTACAAAACAACTGTATGAAGTTGAAATAATGTTTATTACCTGCCAGTGGTCAGAAAAGGCTTCACTCATAGACGATGACAAGAAAGCTCATTGAGGGAAATGGAGAATGAAGAGGGAGGCTGTGGAATTACAGGGAGGCAGGCTAGGGAGAAAGATGGCACTAGGTGATCATGAGAAGTACTAGTCAGAAAAGCGAATTTAGGATAAGAAGTGCACTGCAAGTTCTGGGACAGAGGTTCACCTACTACTGAGAGGGAGGGCTAACAGGCTGAGAAAGGGCTGTTGGAGTTGATTATGTTGTTATGGAAATGAGTTTCTGTCTTGGGACAGGACACAGGCTAGAGTAAGTAGTGTTTGGAACCCATCAAAAAGACTGAAGAGAGGGATAGAGAAAATCTATTATGTTTGGTTTGGGGAAGCATGTTTCAAGACTGAAATAGCAGGAAGAGTTTGGGGTTCTGGCTTAAATTAGTGTGCTGCACTCTTACAGCCTGGAGCTAGATGAACATAGCTCAGTCATTCCTCTTGTCTGTCACTTTTTTCTTCTCTAAGAGGATGGGGAGAGAAAGTGTGTGATTGATAGGACCACATACAGATCTGAAAATCTAAGAAATTTAGTGGTGAGGACAGAATAAAATGAGGGAATGACTCAGCTGCATATAACCTAATGATGAGTCACCTTTGCTTTCTGGACTCCTGTATTTGGAGTATTTAACCACTTCATTCTCAAAGCACTAAAGTCCTAAAATCTGCTTAATTAAAAGTATGAACTCATCAGGATACCACCTATCACCTAGGGTTCTACCCATGAAGGTGGCATAGCATGTTGATTAAAGTCCCAGTTTCTGGAATCAGACAATCCTTCAATTCCAAAGAGGCTGTAAACAATTAGTAAAACAGCAATAGTGGTACTGGCCTCAGTTAGTATGGGATGAAACAAGTTATGCATATAACGGACTTAAACAACACCCTGGACATAGTCCCAGTACAGGAAATCTGAGCACACCTGAACAAGAACAGGAAGAAAATCAGGATTCCTATAACCACACCATCCCCAGATCTTCTTCAAGGGGTCCTGTTAGAAACAAACAGAGCAGGTTAACCTAGTGACGACTATGGTGTGAATTTTGAAGCCATGATTCAAATTCTATCCGAGCCATTTATTAGCTTTCTTTCTCTTTCTCTCTCTCTCTCTCTCTCTCTCTTTTTAAAGATTTATTTATTTACACATATAAGGACTGGGGCACACGTGAGGAGGTAAGAAGATTCACCAGACAGACTGAGGTGCAGAACAGGCAGATCTGCTGAAATATACTGCTGATGGGAGCAGCAGGTGAGACAGGAGAGGTCTGCTGTGCCATGTGGGTCAGCTCCCTGACTGGGGATTGAACTCATGCTGCAGTGACAGCATATAGCTTCATAGTGCTGTGCTTAACCCCTTGTGCAATGAGGGAGGGCCCTAGCTTTATCTTTTTTATTCTCAGATTGCAAATTTTTAAAATGAGATGAATAATGACTGCTTCCAAATTTGGGAAGACTACAAGTAAGATCCCGTTCCAGGCACTTAGTATATAAAGGCTCTTTTCCCATGCTTTCCCCTAGTATTAGGAATTACACGTAAATATCTAGTGTCCTGGCCCTTCCTGGTAGCGCAGTGAGTTAAAGCACAGCACTGAGAATCTAAAGCCACTTCCACATGAAGTCGATTCCCGCCTGCGCCGGAGGTGACCACATGGCGTGGCAGACCTCTCCTGACAAGCCGGCTGTTCCTCAGCAGTGTACTTCGTCGATCTGCCTGTTCTGTTCCCCACTCTGTCTCTGGTGAGGACTCTCACCGCCCCTGAGCCTCTGGCCTGTACCCCAGTTCTGTATGCACAAATAAATAAATCTTTAAAAAAATATATCTAGTGTCCTTGGAACTGATATTATGGTGTGATTTTTGCTCCTGATATCCAGAAATTCTACCCTTATTTTTTCTGGGATTCTTCCCCTCTTGACCTTAATCTATCTATGCATTCTCTCTCTCTTTAAAAAAAAGATTTATTTATGCTTACATAAATGGGGTGAAGGCCAAAGGGGCAGGGTGGTGAGAGGATTCACCAGAGACAGAGTAGGAAGCATAACAGGCAGATTGACTAAAACACACAGATGAGCGGGGCAGCAGATGAGACCGGAGAGGTCTTTGTGCTATGTGGTCACTTCCCTGGCTGGGGATTGAACTCACAGCATGGTGCAGTGGCTGAGGATAGCTTCACAATGCTGTGCTTTAACCCCATTGCAGCACCAGGGAAGGCCCTCTATGCATTCTCTTATCCTGCTTCCAGACCACATTAATATTCAGTTCATTGATTTTCACTGAGTAGATGATCATGGAGAAAGTGTAGTATGCAAAGATCTAAGAATGAGGCCACCACAACAGCCTTGTGGTTATGTGGAGAGAGAAAAGCTCCTGACGGGGCATAGCTGAGATGGGACACAGGTAGTACTCATTAACCTGCATCTGTTTGCCCAACCATAAGGCTTTGATATCCTCCCAGGTGGCTTTTCTCCTGTTCTCAGTGACTCAATCTCAAATGACCAGAAAATGAAAAACAACACACTCTCTCACATAAGAAGTAGCAAGAGATATGTTAAGGATCTGCCTGGATGGTTGGTTCCTCCCTAATGCTCGCTCCCTGCTGGAGGCCACTGACACCACCAGCATTCTATAACGGACTTCTGCTTTAAGGTGGCTTAGTTGTAGGGACAGAGCAGGCAACATATTTTGTGAGAGCCTATACCAGGGAATAGGGATCAGGCTCCTGATGTCACAAGAGTCTTCCAGCAGTGCCAGCAGAGTGCAATGATGACTGAGAAAGTTGATGAATCATCTAAAGTAGCTAGTCAACCTAGAAAGGCAGATGGAGAATATTAGTTACAGTAGGACTAACCCCATGATGAGAAATAATATCACAACAAAAATGTTTCATTCCTGCATTTTAGAATTCTAGATATTCACTTATTTGAATCAAGGGAAATTAGAATCAGAATGGGGAGGGGCAGGTTAGTCACTTGATGCTGACTTCTATTTAAAAAATATGTAAGACCAAAGACATAAAATCATACACGACCTCCAAACCCTTCATACCCTCCCTTGATACAGCTCGTCATCATTTCCAGAGCGAAAGTCTGGAACTTGGAGAACCAGGCATAGGTTGGCAGGAAGGAAGCTAGATCTGAAGGCAAGGAGATGGCTAATTGGCATCTCTTGGAGACACCCACTCTATAGCAGGTTCCCGCCTTCGCTGGAGATTAACAACACTAATCAGATGTTAATTAAATGCACAAGAAAAGGAAATAAACTTGGTCTCTGAAAGGGCAATGGGAAAGGAGTTGGACTGCTTCAACCCGGACTTACATTCCAAAACTCCCTGCCAGAGCAGAAGGAAAGCCCCTCTTTTCGAAGCTTCGCTGGAAAAAACACAGCTCCCAGGAGGGATAGTTGGGAGCCAAGTGCTTGCAGGCTGCATCCTGGGGTCCCTAGGGAAACAGGGCAAGACAAAGGACGGGGGCTCCCGAAGGGCCCCAAAACTTGAAGGCAAATCCCTCCTCTTACCAGCACCTGCTGCTTTAAAGGGCCGGGGACCCACCTCCCCTCCGAATCTGGAACGAAGGAGGCCTGGAGGGTGAAGTCTTTTAGTTACTGTTCCTTCAGTGGCTCCGTGTTTACTTTGTGGCTGTCACGACTGACCCAAGCGGTTCACTCCCTTAATTTTCCCAGTATACCTGAGATGTGTTATTAATTCTCCTGTTTCCTTTATTATAATGGGCAGCCAGAGGCGCAGAGAAAAGGGGTGATTTGCTGGGTAGGCCGGGGCTTCAGGTGCGGGGGCCGCGGGGCTCGGCCGGACGAGAAGCCCACCTGCATCGCCCACCAGAGTCTGGCGTCCCTTCGGCGCCCCGCCCCCGGAAGCCCCAGAGGGCGCCACCTGGAGCCGGC